TGTGTTGCAGAATAAAGGTTGTCATACCAAATGTTGACTTTTCAAGCTCATAAGAATTGTGCATGCTCAGTGTTTGCCTTACAAACTGTATTTGCATGGATGTTTGCACATATTTTATTAATTTTCTGCAGCTATTTCCCTCTATCCTGTAAATTCTGTTTGTATATATCTCGAGAACATTTTGTTCATTCATTTATGTCAGGGTACAGGGTTTTATGTACAGATTGTTATGGAGTTAAATAAAAAAAAAAGAGTCTAAAAAACGTATTGTAAATACAGTTAGAGTTACTTAACATTGAAAACAATTAGATTTGGTCCCTATTGTTGTGTCAGTGATGTGCTTTAAAAATTACCACGAAGACCGGAAGTTTTAGTCTCTGCAACTGACCAATATCGGGCAATAATACTGGCTTACCAAAACATCGGTCGGGCTTTTCTTTTTTTTTAATTTCTTCAAAACATTACACACCTTTTGTTTGGGCTCCTAGCTTCCTGTGAGACTTCAAAGGGTAACTCGGGAGCTTTATCCTTGGAGAAAAACAAGTTACGACACTTGATAAATGTAAAATAAAAAGGAAGATTAGGTTTAACTTAAATTCACAAACGGTAACTGGCAATTGATAGTCAAAAATTAATCTATTCAGAAAACGTTTTCAAATTAATTTTTTGGCAGCCCCACAAATAAGAGTGCACCCTCCCAAGTCGATGATGTCATCTTTACAAGGTGAGCATCAGCAGCCATTTTGTTAGCTAGCTTGAGGTTAAAAGAGGTTAGCCGCGTGCAGCTGTATTGATATACTCGCTTTGGTGGTGAAATTGCGTCGAAGTCGATAACTCGTCGAAGTTGTTATTGACGTACAGTTTTCGGCCACGCGCTCGTAAGCACGAGGAGGAGTCGTGTATTTGTTGACAGCGCGTTGTAAAACTGGACGGCCATTCATTTTTCGAGCTGACTTGAGTGTGCTAGCTCAGTGGCTAGCTGGCTAACTTGTTTACGAGTGTCATTTCTGGCAAAGAAAACATCCCGGCTTTCATGCCACCAGCTGTTAAACGCGAAAGAGTCGCAGAGTGACTGTTTCACGCAGTTCGCGTGTCTGCGCTTGTGTTACATTAGCTTCGCGCACAGTTAACAGAAGTAAACTAAAAGCCAGGGGCAGATCCGCTCGCACCACTCCGGTGTTTACTGATAACTTGAGCTCTCTCAGCTGACCGTGCTTGGACCAGAGCTCAGCCATCCTGGACACCATGTCAGAGCTTTACATTCGGGTGGCTGAGGAAGAAAATGAGGAACCCATGGAGATCCCGTCAGAGGACGATGGCACTGTTTTGCTGTCATCTGTAGCAGCGCAGTTTCCAGGGGCTTGCGGGCTGCGATACAGAAACCCAGAGACCCAGTGCATGAGGGGAGTCCGGCTTGTGGAGGGTGTCCTGCACCCACCGGAGAACGACTGGGGAAACCTAGTGTACATTGTCAATTACCCCAAAGGTATGCCAGGTGTTTGTGTCATTATAAACATGCAAGCAAATTGACAACCCTGCCCACAAACTGCCTGTTAAGTTGATTTGACTATAACTAGTTAAAAGTACCAATACATCGTATTACAATTAACGCTTTAATGCTCGGGACTGGTCCAAATTTGAACATAAAGTGTTGTTCATATTGTAGTGAAGCTGCTTTGCCCAACACCTAAACGTGTGCGCTGTATTTTAACTCGTATAAAAAATGTTTGTGACTGTATAGTAGTATATTACAAAATTCAGCAGCATCACAAACTGGAGCCTCCAAAAGATACCTCAAAGAGAGATTACTGTATTAGATTGGTCTAAAAAAAACATTGTGAGACAGGTGACTGAACTGGATTAAAGCCCTGTATTTAATAGCTTGCTTACTGAATGTGATCAAATCCTGCAGCAGGTTGTGACGACTGGAAAATTATAACAGATTAGTTGATGCTGTTATGGCAACATGTTATTGAAATAGTAAACACAGTTGTATTTCGGTTTTTTGTTTGTTTGTTTGCTTTTTAATTTAGGGGAGCTTTGTAGATATATAAGACAAGGTTTTTTTGATTGCTTTTTTTCCTCACTGGCATGATTTATTTATTCTTCATAGATAACAAAAGAAAGATGGAGGAAATAGACGCTGCCACAGTTGTGAAAATTAAAAGGGGCTTTCAGAAGACATCGGATCTTATTGTCCTCGGGTTGCCATGGAAAACAACAGAACAAGACCTCAAGGATTATTTCAGTACCTTTGGAGAGGTCATCATGGTGCAGGTATTGATGTGTCATGTGACTGTGAATGTTTTCTCAGTTCTTTTCTAGACATTGAGCGCAACAAGGGTATGACTTTTGTTTGTGTACTAATGAATTTGCTCACCTCGCCCATTTTCAGGTGAAGAGAGATGCGAAAACCGGCAATTCAAAAGGTTTTGGGTTCGTCCGGTTCACCGACTACGAGACGCAAACCAAAGTCATCGCTCAGAGACACATGATCGACGGGAGATGGTGTGACTGTAAACTTCCCAATTCAAAGGTGGGTTGGGCACGATTTTACTGTGTCTCAAAGAAGTGCTATGGTAGAAATTGATTTCTTCAGTGAATAAGGTTTGGTATAAATTAATTTTTAGGTTTATATGTAGGCTTACAGCACCTGTTACTGCTTGTTGATCTGTGTCACACATTCATTCACATTCACTTCAGATAAGGTTTGGGTTTCCACACTTACAAGCAGGCGTTTTAAAGTCATTGCAGTGGATTTTTAAAAAAAACGTTTAACACAAGTTACAAATGTTGATTTGATTTTGTAAAACTGAATCTGGATTGTTGAGCAGCATGACTTAAAATGAAATGGTGGTGTCCGTTCTTCCTTTCAGGCATGTCCCGATGAGCCGATGCGGAGCCGTAAAATCTTTGTTGGTCGCTGCACAGAGGACATGACAACTGATGATCTGAGGCAGTACTTCATGCAGTATGGTGAAGTCACAGACGTCTTCATTCCCAAACCTTTCCGGGCGTTTGCTTTTGTCACATTTGCTGATGACCAGGTAAGACTGACCTTAAATGACAGGCTTTGAATATTAGTAGATGGTATTATACAGGAAGAGTGAGAAAGACCTAATATGTATGTTTAGATAAAACAAAAACAAATCTATAATGTCAGTAATTATATGCATATAAGTTTGGTTTAGTAGTGGAAAACATGAGAGCTCAATTACAGATTTATACTGTAAATACCTCATGACACCTGGTATTTATAGTGTACGGAGTATTTATTTACCTGTAAGAAAAAAGAAATACACAGACTTAGTAACTCATTTCTTTCTCAGGTTGCCCAAGCTCTGTGTGGAGAGGACCTGATCATCAAGGGTGTCAGTGTGCACATCTCCAATGCTGAGCCCAAACACAATAATAGTAGGCAAATGATGGATCGAGGGCGTTTTGGGGCTGGTGGGTTCAATCAGGGCTATGGCAGTAATCGCGGTGGACTAGGCAGCGGTAGCGGAGGGGTTAACTTCGGGGCTCTCGGTCTAAACCCAGCCATGGTCGCGGCTGCTCAGGCAGCGCTGCAGAGCAGTTGGGGAATGATGGGCATGCTGGCTAACCAGCAGGGTCTGACCACAACGGCAGGCACAGCCACTACAACCAGAGACCAGACCTATAGCTCTGCGAGCACCAGTTACAGCAGCCCAAACTCAGCTAGCCTCGGTTGGGCTGCAGGCACTAACACGGCCTCCAGCAGCGGCTTCAGCTCTGGCTTTGGTGCATCTATGGAGTCTAAGTCTTCTAGTTGGGGAATGTAGATAGCTACAAGCTAACTCTTTCTATTGCTATAAGGCTGACCTGGTAAGTATACATATGAGGGGGAATGGCTTAGATATTATGTTATTTAAAAAAGAAAAAATACACTGCCTTTTATTTTGTTAAAGAGGAAATTTATACTTGTGTGTGACTTATGTAGTCATGCATTGAATGGGTGAGAAGTGTAGTTTGTTAGTGGAAGCTGCCACACTACCTGGTTTTGTTTTTTGAGAATATGTTACACAAATTTACTGTGCATGCAGGATAAAATAATTTATAAACATGCACGAGTATCTCAAGAGCCCCCTGATTGCCTCTTGTGAAATGATGGGCTTTCTATAATTACATATAAATATATATATGTATGTATGCATTTGATTTTATCTTTGTTTTTGTTTGACATCTTTTGGAAACGCCTTCATGGAAATCTCTTCTGCAGTTCACCAACTCTTTCCCAATTTCCCGGGAGGAAGCGCCTCATTGGCAGCAATGTTCGACAGATCTCAGTATCATTTCCCCTCCTCCCATGTGTAAATGCTTTGTCATCCAAGAACACAGCTTCACTCTGCATATACTGTATTAGACGGTGGGTGTTGTCTTTTTTTCCTCTCCCCCTTTTTTAATTTTTTTTAATTTTTGGGATATAGAAATTTTGTCTGCTGTTGTCACTTTTTGAGATCAGTGAGTGGGATTGGTGTTGGCCCGAGTGAGAGTGAGCGAACGGGAGAGCGAAATGAAAGAAAGCGGTGTGAGTAGGACTGACGGTGTGGAGTTTTTTCTTTTTTGTTGTTTGTTTTTCTTTTGGTTTGTTTTGTTTTTTTAATTCAAAAGAGACAAATGCCTGCGAGAGTTGAGAAGAACCTGTGGCTTTGTGCGAGTGTGAGAGGAAGAAACCAGTACGAGTGTGTTCACCATGGCCATCACAAGGACATTTATTGCATCTCGAGATCCCTACGGTCTCTTTCTCTCATTGTTTTCTATCAACCTTAAATCTTTAAAATCACAGTGAAATGTCAAGTGCTATGAGTATTTGTATCCTTTTGTAGCTTTCTCTTGCTATCTGATTTGACGTGAATGCTGTGTCTGGTTGTGTGCTTTACTTTCTCCTTGTTACCACCCTCTCTGTGTGAAAATGTGACCTTGTGCTAGTGAAGTCTGTGTGGGTGGGTGGGGTTGCGGGACACTGAAAGAGTGCTGAAGTTTGAAAGCGAGCTCAGAAGTTGATGTGGTGAATGTTTGACAAGTTCCCATCGAAAGTTTGTGTTTGAAGTGGTTACGAATGCATTTTCTATGTTTTGTGAATCAAGGGAAGTCTGAAATAAAATTGAATTTGACTAGGTATAATGCCCTCTTGATAGTCAATTATTTTTAACTTACTTTACATTAATTGAACTGCCAACACTTTAATTCACATGTATAGGGACCTCGGACACGGAAAGCCCAGGTTTTCGTCTGAATGAAGGTTGGAGTCAGTTGCGTGGAAGACGAAGCCTTTGTTGGGTGTGCCGGTGCAAACCACAATGAACCTTAATCCTGAAAAGGATCTTCTTCACCTCACTTGCAAGAAACCTTGGACCACCAAATTTAGAGCGGACCATACTCGGTGACAATCAAGGTATTTTATTTATTTTTGTCATACATAAAGATGTCACAGTTGGGACGAAAGTAACACCTGCTGCCTGGCAGCGATCATTCCTTTGTCTGGTCCCCAATCTGTGAGACAGGTCTTG